CCCACCCTCCCGTCACCCCAACAACCCAACCGCCGTTTACAACCTCTCAACCTCCTTTCTCCCCTCCTCAGAGCACCATCAACCGCATCAAATCCCGTCAACGCCCCCCATCAAGCACTCTCCAACCCCTCCACCCCAACCTCCTCCACCCACCACCCGCGAAAAACCCTCAACCTCTCCCCGCGCACCTTCGCCACCCCCCTCCCGACCTCCGTCTTCATCATCCCCTCGAGCTTGACGAGCTTCTCGTCCAGGTGCGCCATCGACGCCGCCATGCTGCGCGCCGTCTTGGCTCCGCCGTACGTGAACATGCGCCCGAGCCCGACGGCGCCGATGGCGTCGAGCCGGTCGGCGTCCTGCACCACCGCGAGCTCCGGGTGCTGCGCGATGAGCGCGGCGGTGTGGGACGGCGGGTTCGTCGTCTCGGTGGTGTAGGAGACGCCGGCGCAGATGCGCTGGACGGTCTGGGCGAGCGGGAGGGGGCAGGCGTGGGCGGTGAGGACGGCGGTGATGAGCGTGGCGGCGGATTCGTTGGGTTTGAGGTATCTTTTGGGTTGGTTGGGTGTTAAGTTTGAGGTTATGAGCAATTTGGGGGGAAAGGGGATCGGGGTGAGAGAAGACTGACTTGCGGTCGCCGACGTCGTGGAGCAGGGCGGCCAGGTGGATGGTGCGCAGGTCCAGGGTGGACTTGAAGGCGGGGTCGGAGTGGTTGTAGATGTGGTGGGCCATGGCCACGACGCGTTCGATGTGGTCCCAGGAGTGGGAGGCGTCGTAGTGGCTCATGTACTCCTTGACGTGGGCCGTGATGGCTTGGATGAGCGGGTCGTCAGGGAAGGCGTTCATCGCTGACACAGACATGGTGGCGGTGGGGGTTGGCCGTGATGATATTCTGGAACCCAAGGAGGTTGTCTTTCAGAAACACTGAAAGAGACGTCCGGTTCCAGTTATGTAGTGAAACAGCAAGAGAGACGAAAATAATTATCTGCTGAGGTTGTTCCTTCTTAAGGTGAGCAGTCCCACTGAAGATTTAGAGGTGGGTCTGCTGTCTGTCTCACCAGCGCAGGCAACAGCTGCAATGTGAGCGGTGCAACCTAGAAGTAGGGAGAATCTGCATGTCTGGCGAAGTTGGGCCACTAAACACCATGAGCCGCAAGAGTCATACGGCGAGCCCGCAATTGCATCCGCCCTCGTCCGTTGTCTTCTTTGACCAATTGTGCAAATCTGGAGTAGACTTGAGCAAACATGGAAACGCATTTCTAAGTGCTATTTTTGTGAGACTTTCAGTCGAACACTCACTTAATTAAAAGTGCCTGTAAACATATCAAGGGATTGAGAGCACGATAGCAAGAGAAGGAGTAGTAGTGGGTGGGTATATTTGAAGAAGAAGTGAAATGATTTTTTTGCAGGTCTATCCGTGTATTAAGCGTCCTGTTGAGCTCTATGTATTGTGGTGTGAAAAAGGAAAGCCAAATAAATACCCCAACACCTTTTCTACCTGATGCAACCCTCCTATTATGATACCCATCCGTCGTCCATTAGGTATACGCTACCTGACCCATTCATCTAGCATCTCTCATACCCAACATCAAAGCATCACATACATAACCAGGCACCACAACATTCACTCACAATCCCCTTCAATGCAAAAAAAGGGGGGCTAGTCGACTCAGAGAAGGAGAGCGACGGCACCACCAACCAGCGCCAAGGCGCCAGCGGCGCGGTTGACCGCGGCGCCACCGACAGCCACAGTTGAGCTCGCTGGCGCCGGAGCGGCGGGAGTCGAGGGAGCCACGACAGGCGGGACGACTGCGGGGAGGACTGGACTGGCGCCGGAGCGGAAGCAGCCGGACTCGAGGGAGCCACGACAGGCGGGACAACCGCGGGCGTGGACTGGGCCGGCGCGGGGCGGGGGCAGCCGGGCTCGAGGGAGCAACAACAGGCGGACGGCAGCCGCGCTCGAGGAGCAACAACAGGCGGGACGACCGGTGCGCTCGAGGGAGCCACAACGGGCGGGACGACCGGCGCGCTCGAGGGAGCCACAACAGGCGGGACAACCGGCGCGCTCGAGGGAGCCACAACAGGCGGAACAACCGGCGCGCTCGAGGGAGCCACGACAGGAGGGACAACTGGTGCGCTCGAGGGCGCCACAACAGGCGGGTTCGAGGGCACCACCACAACTGGCGGGACAACCACGGTCGACTGGGCCGGGGGCGCGACGGGGCTCTGGGTGCACGAGTGGCAAGGGCTCGGGACGACGGTGACCTTGGTGGTCCTGGTCTCGAAGGTGGTCTGGGGCGGCACGACAGGAGGCACGACCGGCGACTGGGTGCACGTGTGGCAGGGCACGATCTCCGTCACGGTGCTGTTGCTGAACGACTGCGGCGGCGGGACAACAGTGTGGGGCGGCGGCGGCGGGGTGGTAGTGACGGGGCAGACAGTCGTGTAGATCGTGGTCTTGAGCGACGGTGGTGACCGTGCTCGTGGTGGAAACGACAGGGGGGACGACCGGTGGGACGACTGGGGTCACGACCGGGGGCACGATCTCAGTAACGGTGGTGTTGCTGAACGACTGCGGCGGCGGGACAACAGTGTGAGGCGGCGGCGGCGGCTGGGTGGTGGTGACGGGGCAGACAGTCGTGTAGATCGTGGTCTTGCCAGCGACGACGGTGGTGACCGTGCTCGTGGTGGAAACGACAGGGGGGACGACCGGTGGACGACTGGGGTCACGACCGGGGCACGATCTCAGTGACGGTGGTGTTGCCAAACGACTGCGGCGGCGGCACGACGGTGTGGGGCGGCGGCGGCGGCGGGGTGGTAGTGACGGGGCAGACAGTCGTGTAGACGGTGGTCTTGCCAGCGACAACAGTCGTAACAGTGCTCGTGGTGGAAACGACCGGGGGCACAACCGGAGGCACAACCGGGGGCACAACCGGGGTCTTGGTGCAGGTGTGGCAGGGCACAACCTGAGTGACCGTCTTGCCGCCGACGACGGTGGTGAGCGTGCTTGTGAGTTCCGGAGCCGGGGCCCGGGAGGTGGCATTTTGCGTCGGGACAGGCGCAGGGGTGGTAACCTCGCAGAGCGTGGTGTAGACGGTCGTCTTCCCACCAACAACAGTCGTGACCGTGCTCAGGGTCGAGGAAGCGGGCGGCGCCTTGGTAGTGACCGGGCAGAGGGACGTGTAAACGGTTGTCTTTCCACCGATGACGGTGGTGACGGTTGTCAAGGTCGATGCTGGCTCGGTTGCGGGAGTACTGTGCGTCGGCTTTTGGGTTGGAACACTGGCCGATGAAGACACGGCACTAGGCACGCAGACTTTCGCGGGCAGGGTGAAGCTGCCGCTGGTGCTGTTGCTGCCCGAGGACGAGCCGTAGACGACACAGTTCTTCTCGCAAGCGGCGTCGCCAGAGACGTCGGACGTCTGCCAGCAACGGGCCGAGTGGACGCCAAGAGGGGGTTGGCCGACTAGGTTCTGCGGGACCGTGTCAGAAAGGCTTCTCTCTTCACCGGCGGTGGGAACTCACGTTGGAGCAGCGGCCGGGTGTGCCAACTTTGCCGTTACAGCGGATGATGATGTCGGTGCCCAAGGAGCTGCCAGCGCAGTAGGCGGCGTTCTCCTTTGCGCAGACATACTTGCCATTTTGGTAAGTGACCTGGGCGCTGGCAACAGCTGCCGAGGCCAGGACGGCGCTGAGGATGGAGGTCGACTTCATGCTGTTGTGAAATCAGACCACTGTTTCTTTTTTTTAGGCTTTTTCTGTTTGGTTTTGGTTGTTCCTAGGGAGATTATTGAGGTTGGAAGCGAGTGCTGGCTACTGCCGAAAGCGAATGAATACACACGGAGGTGACAATGTCGGTTGGAGGGAGATCAAGAGATGTTGGATGTCTTGGACAGACGCTTCGCTTTATATTCAGTCAGGGTCTTGAACTGGCATCCTCGTACGCCTGCCAGGGGAAAGGGTTCTCGGCAGCGACCGGGAAGCTCTCGTGTTAGAACTGGACCCCGATCTTGCCCCTACCTCACAATGAGGTTGTGTAAACACGAGCACTCGACAGGACCGTAGGGGTACTGTGTGAACCACATGGCATCTTTCCAGAACACCCCAGTGGGAGGCATCCACCCGGCCCTAAAGGCGGCGAAGGCCGGTTTCCCCACCCGGCGGACCGACTGTAATGTAGCGTGACGTGCGAGTTGCGGTGGGTGGCCCCAGCTTCGTATTCTGTGTCCTGCTTCCTCGAGGCTTCCGGAGTCGGTGCGGGCTCGGGTGCTGCGGGTCGGAGCCCCACGGGCCCCACCCTGAACATCTGGCGATGCTTTTTAAGGAGTGGCGGGCAAAAGGGGCACTGCTCCCGTATGAACGACCTTGGAGGCCCACGACACCAAAGCCCAGCACGCCATAGAGCTATTGCTGATGAAAGAACCACGCAGGTACAGTCAAGGCCCCGAATATCTGCCATCCGATATCAACAGCTATTCGTATTCATCGCCAATTCGATGGTCGTCATTCGCGGCCTCACCTCGGTTGTGCCTCGACGGGCAGCAACGGGCAAGAGATAGAGACCAAACGTCATCCCGCAACTCCGGGCTCCTCTTTGCTCTGGGGCGGTGGGCTCCGCAAGAAACAAAGCGTTGCCATTCGGTTGTCCGCTCAAGGTGATCCCTGGCCCCTTTTCTTCGTAAACAAAAATAGATCGCCAACTCAGCGAGATCGCCCCTTGAGTGGGTAGATTGTGCCTTGGAGAAAGGGAAGATCGTGCGTTTGGGAAAGGAAGATCGTGCCTTGAAGGTCATCGATGTTGGCTTCAACTGGTTCCATGACTAATGGCAACCAATCCCCGGGATGATGGTAGTGTCTCCTGAAGCTTTTCGCACAGTGGCATCCTCTTGTCGGATCGGCACAACGCAAAGGGGGGCCATGAAGCTTTGAGACTGTCCGTTGACAACAAAAATCAAGGGCTGGGAAAATGGAAAAAAAAAAAGAAAAAAGTGAAAGAACATTCAGGGGCCACCCGGGGATTGAACCCGGGACCTCTCGCAAGCGATGCTTTGGGTTGGAACCCTAAGCGAGAATCATACCACTAGACCAGCGGCCCTTAAATCCCGAAGCTGTGGATCTTGAGATCGCGACTCCAGAGACCCGCTTGAGAATGAGGTCGCGAGACCCCCAAGCTTGAGGCAAGCGGGAGAGAGGAAATGGCTAGGGTGGACCCTGCTTCCCGTTCGTGTAAAACCGGGCAGCATCCATTGGAGACCTCGACCCTGCGATACCGGTTAGCAGTCGAACTGTGGGCTGCGGTTGGGATCATGCTCGGAACCGCCAGGAACTTGGCGATCAGTTCGATGGAATACGACTGCTGTGCCCTGAGATTTGCAGAGGATAACAGGGTCCTGTGTGGTGAGGAGACCCCGCAAGTTCCGAGCTGAGCAGTCTCCCGAACAGCGGAATCTGGCTTGTCCCGGCGACGGCTAGCCTGACCCAACACGTGGCTCTGAGACAACCAAACTGAAGAAACAACGGTAAGGGGTATGGTACGGATCCGTATGTGCCAGCGTATGTACTGTGATGCGAAATGGCCCGCAAAAGCCAGTTGCTTGGTGGACGGAGGGCCCTCAAGGCGCGAGTTCCTATGGGTAGCAGCTTCCATCACTCAGGTCCAGGATCAAGCTCTGAAAAAACGACCGAGAATCAAAATGGGGCGTCCTGTGTATCCGGGAACAGCATTGGGCGAGTTTGGCAAGCCTCCCAGAGTGGCCGAAGAGAAACCACTCCGCAGACGGCATCCCTGCGTAACTGGTGAGGTCACTTGCCAAGTTTGAGGGGGTGGTCGCTGATTCGTCCGAGCTGCAGTGGGTTCTGCAACCCGTCGACGGCAGCAAGACGACACCTGAGGAGCTGATTCGGTGACGGCCTGGATCGAAGCTGCGGGCAATCCGCAACTCAAGTCGTCCGAATGCTCTCGACCTGAGCTGGCGCGGGCTTGTCCCGCGGCATCGTATGTGTTCGTAAATTGTCCGGTGCTGAACCAAGTGACGTGAGCCGAGTGTGACGACTCGATTGATTCGAAGCTCGATGCACGTCGTGAACGGGCAGTGAGGGCTCCGCCATGGCCATTCAGGGCCGGGCCAGGCCGAGTTCTGCAGCAGCGAGGAATCAGAAGGCAGAGCTGAAATGGGGATTAACGTTGAAACAAAAATAACCGACTGCCCTGCCGGGCCCTTAAATTTGACAAATGGAAGGAGTTTCTGCATCAGTGATCGGCCCTGTTCCTGGAGGTTGATGGGAGGAATACTAAAGTACCAGCCCGAGGTCAAAGAAAGCCTCACAACTCCCCAGCCAAGCGCTTTCCCTCTCAGCCTCTGACGGGAAGAGTCCTGCCCCCACTTTAGTTGGCACCTCGCCGGGGTGGAGGGGCGAGGGGCAGAAACCTGCCTGGAAGGTGCTGATGCATTCGCAGCATTCCAGAATCCAAACCGCCCTGCCTCCTTCCCAGCCTGCCGATTTTACAGGTGCGGCGGCCTGGCCAATGGCGGGTGGCAGGTCCGAGGACCTTCCCGCAGTGCGTCAGTCCGGCGGCCGACAGGTGTCCCTTTGAGCCACTGCATGCACGAGTGGCTGCGGTGCCTTCCTCTCATTTTCTGCGCTTCCCCCAGTCGCAGTCGCAGTCTTTCATCGAGGAAAATCGCATTGTTCGACCCAGAACACCCGGCGCCGTCGCTGGGACCGCTGCGACCCCAGACCTTCATCTTGATCATATGCGCCACTCCTGCACAACTGCACAACAGAACCACCCACCTCTCTCTCCGCCATGTTTCGGATTTTGGATCTCTGAAGGACCACCATCCCCGCCGTGACTTGTGACTGGCAGGACCTCGATGCCCGGGCCCTGGTGACGGCATGATTGATGATTAGCCACAACCGGAGCCACCTAAGAGGCGAAAGAGGGTCGTCCCGCTCCAGGCCCGACACGACAACTCTCGAGCAGAGGTCCCTGCCACCCGTGCTAAGCTGTGCTGAGCTGTGCACGGCTCTGGTCAAACCGCAGCACCAACCACTCAGCGTCCGCCTGCCACTTGTCGATGTCTCAGATAGTCTGCGATTCTGCTTCGAACGTGATCCGGCTTCCAGTCCGTATCTTTGCCCGCCAGCGCTGAAACTTGGTGAGCTGTTTCCGCTTCCCGCCGCACCACCTACTCGATTGTCCTGGCATTCTGTCGACCTCATCGCCTTCGGCAACATGCGCGGGACCTTGCTCCATCTCCGTTTTCCAGTCTAGACGAGGGCGAAATATCTGGGGCGCTACCTCAGGTCGCCCACCACCGACCGTTTCAATGCCCGTGGGCAGCGACTTTAGGGTTTCACTGCCCGCCATGGGCACCTCCCATGCCAACTACGCGCTGGGCCTGGAAGCGGATGGCCTGGGACCCCATCCGCGCATGTTCAAAAGGCACAAGGTTCTCCCACATCCTAGGAGGGACGATGCGCCACGAACAAGTCCTTTGAGATATAGTCTCGGGAGCGAGGCGGCCTTGTCGCACAACGGCGGGTCACCGCGCGCTGTCCCGTCCGGTCGCTCGCGGGCGAGCCGGATGGGAAGAGGTCCTGAACCACCGCCCACCCCGCCGGCGCATTCGCGGACATCCTCGGCAAGCCATCCCGCCGACCCCTCGACGCCGAACCATGCGGGTACCCCTTCGGGCAGCACCGACAATGTCCAGGCGCCTCCACCGGCGACCCCTCCCATTCAACAAACACCACCAACTCCAAACTTGACACCAGATCGGACGCCACCAGGGCCTGCCGCGAGTCTGGCTCACCGGCGTCCCCCGATAACCGACCGTAACTCGTCGAAACTCACCACGGACTCGAGGGCCGAGTCGTTTCGAACAGCACCCGAGAATCCGTATTCATCCGACGACGACGGTGGCAGGGCGACGCTGCGTCCAGCGCTACCGTCGGCCAAAACCTCGCAGAGCACCGTCAGGCAGGTCAACGGGGAGGCACGCAGCGTTTCTCAGCCCGTGGGCCTGGGTCTGGGGCTCGAATCGAGCCCTGGGGGTGATGCAACGCCGAAGACTGTTGGGGACTTCAACAAGTTTGACGGAGAATGGGCTGCCGGGGCAGCAGGAGCCGACGCAGCGGATAAGTGGGACGACAGCCTCATGAGGAATGTTACCGTCAGGAAACGACGACCAACCCGCGCGGCCGAGAATGTCACCAAAGAAATCGTTGATAACAGGACAGTGACACCAACCAACGCCACCAAAGCGCTCCGTTCCATGTCCCTGCAGGACAGCCCGGTTCTTTATCCTCCCCGCAGGGTTGTCTCAGACCGACTGCCAGCGCGGACTGCTCCGCTGAATTCCGAGTCCTCCAGCAGCATTGAGATCAAGCGTTCGTCGGTCATGTCGACCAAGTCGAATGCCTCAACCGTCGTCGAGGCCATGCTTGTGGAAACGGCGCCCCAGCGACGCAAGACGTTACGGCATGTCAGGAAACAAAGCGCGCTGCGAGATTCGAGCTCGGAGATTTCTCCGCCAAGCTCCGCGCCAACGTCCGTCTCACCCGCCGCTGACGACAGGCGCCGACGCCTCGAATCGACGACCTCTAGGGCCGGCGAAGCCGTGCGGGAAAGCTACGCTTCGACTGCTACCTGTAATTCCATCTCGAGCCGGAAAGCCCGCCGCTCGGTCTGGAAGAGTGGTGGCGTCCCGGTGATTGTGATACCCGACCGCCGGTCCTCGGTCAAGTCCAACAGCAAGTCGCCGTCCCTGCGGTCGACCAGCAGCCGCAGGTCTCAGAGCGTTAGCTCCGTTCCTATTTCACAGCCATCCAGGAGCAGGGAGCACGTTCCTCTTTTCGATAGGCCGGCCCGTCGGAGCAGGGCGCTGTCCGAATCGGATGGTTCTCGAGCAGGGGACGCGCGGACGATGGACTTCCCCCCGGTTATCCCTGCACGGTCGTCGTCGTTGTCGGCGCCCACCAGCCGGAACGTGTCGCGGACGGGTTCCCTGACGGCAGAGAGCCTGACAGCTCACAACATATTCCAGGCCCAGCAAGCCCATCAGGCCTTGCAAAAGGCCAGTCGCGAGCTCGACCAGCTTTACAGTCGGGGTCAACCAGCTCTGGATGGCGAGAGACCAGAGAGTCGAAAAGGGGCCGAACAAACGCCCGCGAGCACTGAAGTCGAGCAAAGACAGCCCACCGTAACGGTCAACCGGGCGGCTCGGGATGAGCAGAGCGATTCCAGTGTGAACCTCGCTCAGGCTCGCCGTGGGCGGGACTCGCACGGGACGCATGGGGAAAACGGCGGGCTTGGGGTCGACCGAGATGGTGATCCTTTCTTCGGGAAGAGACTATCTGTGCAGAACACACCCTTTTCGGTCATTTCGGTTGAGACGACTGCGACGTCGAATGCTGAGGTTTCCGAAGCCATGGCTGTCAACATTTATCCCCACCAGAGCAAATCCGTTGTCCTCGTCGACCACTCAGCCAAGCCGTCAGAGAGTTCCACGTTGGAGTCATACAAGGCCTCCGGCTCGAATATTCCGATTGTCAAGACGACTGACGCAAACGGCGGGGTCCCGGCGACGCCTCCGCAGCAGTTCTCGGTGGATGATGTTGACTCTCCGCTGAGGAACCCGAGAGCGCCGCCCAAGCCCCCAGCCATCAACTTCATACCCGCTACTCCCTCGGGCTTGACGCCGTCGACCGAGAAACAAAAGCAGCTGGGAAATTACTACGAGATTACCGCGGAGAAGCCGAAGCGAAGCACGTCGCTTCTCAAGCGCGCCTTGACCGGCCGCACAACAGATTACGGGCCGTCCCCTGTACGGCCTGTAGGCTTCCTCACCCGGACGTTCTCGCTGTCGCGAAACATTCGCCGGCGCCCCGGAGACTGGGAGGACGAGCGTCCCGGACTGAGGCGCCGCTCAACGGCAGACTCTGTGCCTCAAGACGAGACCAGGCTCCACCCGTTCTGGCGGCCCGCCTACGCCGACGACGAGAGCTGCTCCGAAGACGACGAGTACAACGATGTTGACGACGATCACGACCACGAGGCAAGCCGCACCTACCGCTACCCGCCCATCGACA